CAGAGAGAAAGCTGCCCTCAGTCCAACTGATGCCGGATAATCCCGCTTCTCCCGTTTGTGTCTGGTCCCTAGAGACTCGCCCGGATCTGGAGCCCAGAGTCTGAGACTCACTCCCGACCGAAAACGACAACCGCGCCCTCAGCCACCAGCCCGCTTTCTCACGCACCTCGGTACCTTTGTATTTTCCACACTGCGCCTCCTCTGAGCCTCGGTTTGCTGTTCTCTTTCCTTCTAGTTGTAGAATTTCCACTCAGCCAGCCTTCCTGTGGTTCTGGATGATGTCCGCTCCGTCTTTTAGTTGTATTTTTGAAGTGGTTGTTCGAGGCAGCAAACTCCGGTGTTTACCTATGCCGCCATCTTGGTTTCTCCCAAGCCTTCCTGTTCAAGCATCTTGTGTGATTTCTGTCTCCTGACTTCACTCTCTGATATATTCCCTGAATCTGCTAAGTCATTTTATTTTATTTTTAAATATATTTCTATTGATTCAGAGAGGAAGGGAGAGGGAGAGATGGAAACATCAATGATGAGAATCATTGTTCAGCTGCCTCCTGCACACCCCATGCTGGGGATGGAGCCCGAACCCGGGCATGTGCCCTGACAGAATCGAACCGTGACCTTCTGGTTCATAGTTGGATGCTCAGCCACTGAGCCATGCCAGACAGGCTGCTAAGCCATTTTAAACTAGGGCTACATGGTATGTACTTATGGTGCTAGCAAAAGCCATTTGTGAGTGATATATGCCTAGCCTATATTAAAAACTTTCCTTTCTTAAAAGAGTTCTTTTAAAATGTGCCTGAGGTGGAAATAGGTTTAGCTACTTTAATTATACCTAATTGATGCAGCTCCAATGTATATACATTTTTTTCTTTTATACTTTTTGGATATATTCCTTTGTGAGATGGCCTAGATTATTAGGAAAACCAGTGTTTGACTTTCATGTAAAAGTAAATGATGTGGGAATGCAGACTGGTGCAGCCACTGTGGAAAACAGTATGGAGTTTCTTCAAAAAATTAAAAATGGAACTCCCATTTGACCCAGTGATCCCACTTCTAGGAATATAGTGTAAGAAACCCAAAACACTCATCAGAGAGAATATATGCACCCCTGTGTTCATAGCAGCACAATTTACCATAGCTAAAATTTGGAAACAGCCTAAGTGCCCATCAACAGATAAGTGGATTAAAAAACTGTGGTACATCTACACAATGGGATACTACCCGGCAATAAAAAAGAAAGAACTCTTGCCATTTGCAACAACATGGATGGACCTGGAGAGTATTATGCTGAATGAAATAAGCCAGTCAGAGAATGATAAGCATCACATGATCTCACTCATATGTGGAATCTAATGAACCAAATAAACTGATGATCAAAAATAGACCCAGAGACATGAGCAGACTGTTGAAATTTAGAAGGAAGGCAGGGGAGGGTGGGTGGTAAGAGAGAAACCAATGAACTTCTATGAATCCTATATAATAAAAGCCTAATATGCAAATTGTCCCCTCAACTGGGAGTTATGCCGGGAGTTCGACTACTTGCTATGATGTGCACTGACCACCAGGGGGTGGTGCGGAATGTGGTGGGTGTTGGCAATGCAGTGCTGGCAGTGGGCAGCAGTGGAGACACTGCAGGCCCAGATGGACCCTGACCAGAGCAGAACTGGGGTGGGATGGTGGAGCAGGTGAGTGGGTGGTGCCAGGCCAAGGTGGGTGCGAGCCACTGATCTGATTGCAGGGCAACAAGTAGAGGTGGCAGGGGGCAGGGCCGCTGCCCAGCTCCCTCAGCACCTGGGAGGCGGTGGCGCGTTCAGCGGGGTGATAGGGCCCCGCAGGCGGTGACCAGCAGCAGCGGCGGGGTGGGGGGTGGGGGGGGGCAGGCAGTCGATGGAAGGGAGGGAGTACCCGGCTGGCAGCTGGCAGCCACTAGGGACCCTACCCATGCACGATTTTCATGCACTGGGCCTCTAGTATATCCATAATCCAAGGACACAGACAATGGGGTGGTGAGGGCCAAGGGCGTAGCGGGGTGGGAATGGGCTGGGAGAGGTTAATGGGGGGAAAAGGAGGACCTATGTAATACTTTCAACAATAAAGATTTTTTTTTAAAAAAAGAGCCCTGGCTGGGTTCTCAGTGGTTAGAGCATCTACCTACAGACCTAAGGGTCGTAGGTTCAATTCCCGGTCAAGGGCATGTACCTGGGTTGCAGGCTCAATCCCAGGCCCCTGTAGTGGCAGGTGTGGGAGGCAACCAATCGATGTATCTCTCTCACATTTGATGTTTCTCTTTCTCTCCTCCTTCCTCCTCCCTCCCTTCCACGCTTTAACAACAACAACAAAAATAAATGAGATTGAGACTTGAATGTCTAGAATTTGAACGTAGGAATCAACATTCATACAGTCTATTCCGAGTCTGTTCTTAAAGCTGCCAGTTTTGTAAATGCAGTGGTCAAACGGTACCTCGCCTAGCATTACTTAAATACATTTATTTTTCAAAAACAAATGAAAAGATAGGTTTTAGGCTTGGCGCTGTGAGATTCATGGGACTCAAATAGTAATGAGATACAGGCCTTACCCTCAAGGAATTTGCGCTGTGGTTATAAAGGTAACCGAGTAGGCAGACAGTTACAGGACAGTGTGACACATGCTGTGACGACGTAGAGCAGAGACGCCCCACCTAGACTAGGCGTTGGGAAGGCGTCTTCAGAGGAGTTGGGGCCTGAGCTCGGCCTTGTGTGGAGCCTTTTTAAAGTTGTTTTTGATGCGATCGAATGATTACCTAGGAATCACATTTTCCCAAAGTAAACTGGACATACTGGGGAGGGGGTTAGGCAGGTAACTCCCAAGGCCCTTTTAAATTCTGAGATTATATGAAAAGTACTTTAATTATGGTGGCAAGTTTGGTCAGATGATTTGATTACAAGGAAAAGTGCAATTAATGTTGGCTGCTTAAAACATTTCCTATTAAGTCAGGATGACAGCCAGGCAAGGAGCAAAATAAGTGAGTGTAGTATTATTTTAGAGCTAATAATTTATGCCTTGTTGAACATTTCAGAAACTTAAGAATCCACAATTATGGGCTCCATAAACGTACACTGAACGGACAATCAGTACGAAGTGGGGGGCGGGGGATGCCTGGCATAAGTGTATTTAGTCTATGAACTACCAGAAGATGTCACTGTCTCCTAAGTAATGGTCCATCTATTGGTCCCTTTTCAGGTACATTTTTTGAACACGGATAGGCTATGACAGATTGATGAGAGTATCTGGCTTCTAGAATTTAAATGAAGAGAAGGATAGGGCTTCATAACAAATATTTGTCGAAAGTGTGTAGGTTGGTTTCTTCTTAATTCTTTTTTTAGAAATTAATCCTCACCCGAGGATATTTTTGCATTGATTTTTAGAGAGAGTGGAAGGGATGGGGAGAGACAGAGAGAAACATTGATGTGAGAGAGAGACATAAATTGGTTGCCTCCCACATGAGCCCAACCAGGCCAGGGATCTAGCCTTCAACCGAGGTACATGCCCTTGACTGGAATTGAACCCGGGACCCTTCAGTCTGTGTGCCAACGCTCCATCCACTGAGCCAAACCGGCTAGGGCTCATCTTAATTCTTGATGCCCTGAATGTGTGCCCTGTTCACTGCTTTATGTATTGAAATTATCTGGATACTCTGCGTTCCATCTGCACTTTCAAGAAAAGTGAAGGTGATGAGAAATCTTCCAAAATATACTCTGATCTTGACTTCCTCCCACATTTAGGTTGCATTATTGTGATGCAACCTTATTGACTACATTAGCAGAAATTCAAGGATATTTTGGCCTTGGACACAACCTAAGAAAGCCTTGAATCTTTTTTTTTCAAGACACCATTTATGGTGTATAAAGGAAAATGGGAAAGTGTTTCCATGCCGTAATAATATTAGATGAAATGAACCAGTATTTCCCCCATTACAAATAGGGACTTCTGACTCAAGTTCACACAGGTGGGAAACGAAGCAGAGATGGGATATGGACCCAGGAAGTCTAGCAATAACAGAGTTGTATTCTTAACCCCTACACTAGAATTGTTGATAGTTGAAACAATATAAAGCCAGACTTTTCAGAACTGAAGCTCATGTTATTCATTTACTCATTTGGGCCTTTTCTTGAGGGCCAGGTGTGTGGCAGGCCTTCTTGAGGCGCTGGTGATAATGGTTGACTGTGATAATCCCCTGAAGAAACAATGAACGAAATGAATGAGTCCATCAGTGTGGTGAGTGCCATATATGGGTTATAGGAGCACAGGCATGTTGGTGGGAAGGCAAAACAGTGCAGCCACTTTGGAAAATAATTTGGCAGTTTCTTCAAAAATTAATGGACTTACCATATGATTCAGCAATTACACTCCTAGGTGTTTACCCAAGAGAAATGAAAAGATATGTTCACACAAAGGCTTGCACAGGAATGTTCTTAACAGTTTATTCATAACTAGAGGCCTGGTGCATGAAAATTTGTGCACTCAGGGGGTCCCTCAGCCTGGCCTGCACCCTCTCACAGTCCGGGAGCCCTCAGGGGATGCCCTACTGATGGCTTAGGCCTGCTCCCCCTAGAGTGTGGGCCTAAGCTGCAGTCCGGCCTCCCTCTGCGGGAGGTGACCAGGTGGCTGATCAGGGGATGGCCCCCCCCCCCCCCATCGCCCCTCTGCCTCTGCTGCTCGCTGCCACCCCCCACATCACCATCCCCTCCCTCTGCCCACTGGCACTCGCCTGGCA